GGCCCGGGATCCTGGGAGACCTTCTGGCGCACTCTCCTGGCAAAGGGGGCGGCGTCATCGGTGGGTGGCGATGCCTGTATCCTATGAGAGAGAGACTCCCCCTCGTAGGTGCTCTGCTGGTCGTCGTAGTAGGGGGGGAGGTCAGGCATCGGCCTGTCGCCCAGGATCCTCCTCATGTCGTTCCTGATCGCCTCAAGCTCCTCCCAATGCTGACTGATGGCGCGTCTCCCAAGCGGTATGTCATGTGTGGCCAGCCAGTCCAGGTAGGATATGATGGCAGCCCGGTTCTCAGCGGAGCGACCCCAGGCGTCGTTGCAGATGTCGTCTGCGAGCTCGCGCAGTGAGTTGAGATTGCCATCCGCGATGACTGCTGCTACCCATGCAGCGTGTTGAGGTAGCCTCAAGCACTCCATCACGTAGGGGACGCACCATCCTCGCCATGAGCGTCCTCCCGATTCAGCGTCCGACAGGTCAGGCATCCATCGGGTAGCTCCAGCTGCGACCGCCTCCCTGAACTCCTCCTCGGGGCCATCATGGTCCGCGTCGTCAGGAGGAGGAGGTCGCCCCATATCTCCAGGGGCGGCGAGGCGCCTCCAACTTCCCAGATCCGCCTGTGGAACCGAGCTCGGTGCTGCCGTCGTCGGGGTCGCAGGTGAAGGCTGAGGGTCTGGTCGTAGACCGTCATCTGGGCTCGTGTGCCTCGTAGTATTTGGGCTGGAGGGTGCACTCTCCAGCTGCTGCAGCGAAGTGACGCCGAAGTCGAAGAGAAGATCCGCAACGAGGTCTAGCACCGCTTGACCCACTGCGCGAAGATACCGAGCTTCACTGCCGCCAGCAGGATGAGGGCCAGTCTTGGGACCTCCAATTGGGCGCCAGGTATACTTGGCCCCATCTGCGCGCCCTCGGTAAGAATCAGGATCGTCGACCTGGTAGATGCCGATGAGCTCGCTCTCGACGTGAGAGATGAACTGGCCGTGCATTGCATCCATTCGGCCGATCGCTTCCTCCTTGGAAGCGGGTGGGCCTCTCTGCGCGCCCCTGTCCACAATGCCCAGGTAGTCAGGTGCGGGGATCGGGCCATGTAGGGATTGCAGCCCTCCGTGGCAGGAGGCCCTTTGGGCCGTGCCCTGGGAGCTCTGATGCTGAGGATCTGCATGATCTTCGGCCTGGCTTTGATGTAGGTGATGACGGGCTTGTGAGGTCGAGCTGGCCACGTCAGCATCGTGGTCGGCGATCGGCATGCCGTCTCCAGGCCAGGGGACGTGATGAAGTAGTCGATGTTATTGTATTCGCCCTTCGGTGTGCGACAGGTGCCCTCCTCCTTGGTGCATAGGAGGGCGGCAGGTAACATGTCTGGCAACCCCATCTGCAGGTAGTCCTGTGGGCTGATGTTCCAGTCGCCTGCGATGATGAAGGGCTTGTTCATGTATCTGAGAAACCGAGACAAGCTCAAGTAGCGGTCGTAGTTGGCTGGGAGGTAGTTGGTCGCGTGCGCACACTCCATGTAAACAGATCCCACCAGCAGCCCTCCAGTAAGTCCCACATCAACGTGTATGACCACTGCCCATGCTGGTGTGATGTCATGGGTAACTTTGCCATCGGGTCCCTCGACGACGGTGGCTGGTAAGTGGGAGCGCACAAAGACCCCTGTGCCTGCGCTGGGCAGGCCTGTAGGTAATCTGCGGCAGGGCGCGACGAAGGCCTGCCAGCCGTTGCGTCGAGCCCAAGACTGCGCCTGCGCCAGACGCTCCCCATCAAGCCGTAACTCCTGGGCGCACACAATATTGACCCCTGTCGTACCCTCTGCCAAAAAGGTCTTGCAATAATCCCAACAAGAACCGTTGAAGGTAGCAACTGCAATATCTTTGCGCTTGGAGCCTCGTGGGGCCCTCCTAGCTGTCGTCGCCCGCGCTCTCCCATGCCGCCCGCTCGACGGGCATCTGATCGTCAAGTCCTGCTGGCTGAGCTGGAGGGCGAAAAGCGGCTGACTGCAGAGGTGGCGCAGCTGATGCCCGCGGTGGTGAAGCTCCTGTCGCCAAGGAGCCGATGTTGGAGACCTGCTGCTCGATGGTGCTGAGGAGCTGGGCGCCGTTCATGTTCGACGTTCCTGCGCGCGCCGACAAGAGGACAGCCTGGAGCTGCTGGATGGCAACGGAGACGTTAGCCATCGCAGGGGCCCGCTCAGCGGCCACGGCCGCCACTGCTGACTGGGCGTGAGCGACCTCCGCGCTGAGGCTGGTCGTCTCAGCCTCGAGCCTGTTGAGCTGCTGCTGAGCGTCGGCGAGCTCCTTGGACAGCTGCTCGACCTGTGCGGCCTTGGCGGCGCGCTCAGAGTCCTTGGCGGTCCATCTGTCTTTGGCGCTCTTGAGCAGGTCTGAGGGGTCCATCTGGGCTCGCAGTAGGGACTCCTCCTTGTCGTGGGCGGCCTTGGCGGCGATGACCAGGTCATGCTCGTCACCGTAGATCCGTCGTAAGGCCAACCATGCACGCTTGGACTTCGCTGCTGATGACTGCTGTGGCGCTGCCTCACCAGCAGCCTGAGGAGCAGCAGGAGCAGGATCAGCGCGGTCGCGCCAGGGCGCCTCGGCGCCGCGCGAAAGAGGCCTCCTGCTGCGGCTGAGCGCTCGCTGGGGGGCGGTCGTGGGCCTGCCGTCCCTGTCCCTGCCGCACGCCCAGCACGTCGTCCTGCTCGAGTAGTTGTTGCGGTACCCGCAGGCCTTGGACGCTTTGCATGGCCATACCTCGCCATGCATCTGCACGTGCTGCGGCTCCACGGGCGGCGCACTGCCGTGATGTGTCTGCAGGAGCCGCCTGGCGGCTGCCTCGCGCAGCGTCTGGCGCGCACTGGCGCGGCGCCTGCGCAGGCGGCGATGCCAGGCTGGCGACGGAGCTCGCCCGCTGGGGCCGCTCGCCGCCACCGCTGCGCCTGCGCCCGCCGTCGGGCTGCAGGCTGGGGCCAGATGGATGCGCCCGCCGCGCGCCCCTTGAGCCAAAATGGCTAGGAGGAGGAGGAGGAGGAGGAGGAGGAGGAGGAGGAGGAGGAGGAGGAGGAGGGGGGGAGGAGGAGGAGGAGGAGGAGGAGGAGGAGGAGAAGGAGGAGGAGGAGGAGGAGGGCGTTCCTCAATTGGGAGGGCGGTAAGCGGGGAAGGCGAGGAAGCGTGCGCCTTCCGTCCCAGATTTGGACCCCAGGAGGCCGCTTTCGGGCCCCTGAGAGGTGCACAAGGAGCTGCACCTTCTCTGCCCCCCTGCGCTGATCGTCCGCCCACTGCGCAAAGCCCGAACCAAGCGCCGAGCGCCGGTCCTGGACGTCTGGTCAGAGGACCCCCTGGAAGAAGAACAAAAACAGCATAGGCACAAACGTTCGACGGTCCGCGCGGAGTTCTTGGATCTGCGCTGTACCCCCCTCCCTGGCGCGCTCCGCGCGCCAGGGGCGGCGCCGGAGGCGGCGCCGGGGGGGGGGGCCCGCGCGGATCCAAGAGATCCCCGCGGAGCCCCACCAGCTGTTTTGTTGACGTTCACGGCCAAAGACCCACACAGCATGGGCAAAAGTGTTAGGAGAGCGGCACGACCCCAGGGCCACCACCTCCAACGGCAGTCTCCTCTAGGGAGCCCACAAAGGACGTACGCGCCCAGCTATGTACATGAACACGGCCCCTCGATCCGCGAGAGCTGCCGCGTTATACGAACATTTGCGCTATGCGTACTCTCGAAACCAGCGTGGATTCATGTACGTGTACGTCCTTTTGTCGCTCCTGATCCTCTGCATCCACCGCAGGGCGGAGCCCCACAGGTCCATGCTCCGTGGCGCTGCTTCCTCCTCGGGCTCCGCGCCCCGCGCCTCCACGGAGCGAGAGGCGCGCGCACCTCCGCGCCCTCGCGCGCGCGCGCGCCTGGAGGGCGCCCCTTTCGGCCCAGACCGCGGAGCGCGCGAGGCGCGGCCCCCTCCTCGCGCACGCGCTGTTTTGAGCAGGGAGCGGCCGCCCGGGCATCCCCGTGGGCCTGCCGCGGCATGCTCTTCGGACCGGAGAGTGTCCGAAGAACGCCCACGAGGTTCCCAGAACTCAGGGTCGATGTATTGGGAGGCCTCCCAAATGGGGTCACTCCTCGCGCACGCGCTTTTTGAGCAGGGAGCGACCGCCCGGGCATCCCTGTGGGCCTGCCACGGTGTGCTAGAAGACGACACATCTGAATAAACATAAAGATTTGTGGCGCTCCGCGCGGAGCGCCAACATGTTATGTGTATGCCGATGTTTATTCTTCGATGTTCTAGGGGCACAGACGATGTTCTCAGAACATCGAGCCGATCTGTATATATATATATATATAAATACATATGTATACATACATGTGTGTATATATATATATATTCAGAGGCCTCCCAGATAGGGGTCGGAGCATCGAGCCGCATCGTCGACATACCGATGCATGAATTGCCAATGCATTAGCGACGTTGGTGATGCATCAGCGTGGTCGTCGGCATGGAGAACATCGGCCTCCACGGCGAGCCGCATCGCCGATGCATCGCCGATGCGGCGGAATCCTCCGACCCCATCCACTCGGACCCCATTTGGGAGGCCAAGAGTATATAAACAAGACGGTCTCAACCAGAAAAGGTTCGAAGAATTTCTCGTGCAACCCACAACAGATTCTTGAAGCATTCTCTGATGGGCCTCTGGGCAAGTCAAGACGCCTTGCCACTGCTTCAGTGCTGGCGGCCCTCGGGAGCCCTGCCCATCGGGTGGTCCTCATGCGCTGGTGGCCCTCGCTCAGAGAACGGCGTCGCTACCGCCAGGCGCAGAGAGCAGGGGCCCTGCGTGTCTTTCCCCTCCCTGTCCCCTCGTCGTTCGTTCCCCCCTCTGCGTGCTCATGTCCTAATCGACGTCGTCGTCGTCGTCGTTGCCGCCGTCCACCGAATCTTGTGGGCCGGCGCGGGGGCTTCTCAGGGAGCAGGCGCCAGGCTGCCCAGCCCTGCTGATCAGCAGGCGCTAAGGGGCCCCGGCGTACTTGACGAGGCAGTCTGCGATGTCGCGGCCCTCGGTGCCGCCCATGCCCGCCCAGAAGCTCAGGTCCGCCTGGGCGGCGCGGCGCAGCGGCGGCAGGCACGCCGGCGGCGGCGGCGGCCGCCCAGACGAGCCGAGACCGCGCACCCGCCCCTCGTGGCGGCGCGCGCAAGGGCGGCGGAGGGAGGGAGGAGGGCTTCCTGTAGAAGGAGGCAGCTGCTTCGGAGGCGCCGGCCCTGCATCCACAGAGAAGGCCCGCGCCTTCTAAGAAGCAGGGGGTGCTTCTAGGCAGATTTCCCCCCTCTCCCTACCCCTTTCCACGCGTGGCGAATCACCCATATCGAAAGTAATCTGGATCGGGCTTCGGAAGCCATGGTAGCTAACCAGCGTCCAGAATCAACCGAGCGTATCAGGCGAGACGCAAGTCGATTATCGAAACCGACTGGGGACTGCGCCAGTACACTCGAATGCCAATGTCGAGTGGGCCATGCAGAGTTTCTCAGTCGACTTGTCGGGGTGGGGCTTCTCTCCACGCGCGACATTCCGAAGATCGGTCGCGCTCTTGTCGTGAGGCTGGCCGGCGCAGCGCCGTTGCGAGTCACATCTCCTGGGCCAGGTCGTACGGAACGCGAGGTGGCCGCGGACGTTCCGCCCGCGCTGAAGCCCATGCAGCCTCCTCCTCCCACCCTGGAGATCTCCAGCGGCCCTGGGCCCCTGGAGTCCTCTGGAGGACCCGGAGACACCGAACACGCCCAAACATCTCGATCCTCATCCGCCCCTCATCCTTTCGCGCGTGCACGGTCGCGGTGAACTAGTCACGCCGGATCACTACTCCTCCTCTCCCTGCTCCTCCTCCTCCTCCTCCTCACGACGGCAACGACGACGATGACGTCGACGGCGACGGCGACGGCAACGGTGACGACGACGACAACGACGACTGCTGGCTCCACGCCCGAACCAGCGCCGCCGCCGCAAGGCAATGGCGGCAGCCACGGGGGCGAGCAAAAGAGGACGACCACAGCGACGCGCGACCGTGGCAACGATGAGGCAGGCAGAAGCAACCACCGTGAAAGTAGCCGACGCTCCTCAGTCTTGCCCTCGAAGGTGGAGGGGTGAGATTTTCGCGTGGTCTTTTAAAACAAATGTGTGGACGATTCGGACACTTGTGGGCCCCAGGGTCTCCGAAGACATCCAGGCACACCTCGGGCGGTCAGGATCAAGAGCAAACTAAAACTTACGATCCGGCACTGCCCTATCACGGCAGCAGCGACGACGGCGTCGACGGTGAACGATGAAGGAGTTGAGAATGACAGCGTCGATGGCGACGACGGCGGCGGCACTACACTACAAGCAGAATCCCATCCACCACAAACGCCCAGAAGAGCCTCTGACGCACAGTCGGGTCAATCGCCAAATAAACGGCCTAGCACGGACAGAGCGCTCTCAAATCTCTCGGGCTTAGTAGCACGGAACGTCTCTCAGGCGTTCCCAACACACCACAAACTTGACCAACAATGCATCGAAGACGCCTTCCAATGGATCCCGCATCTTCTCTTGGTTATCTGACGCTCCCTCCATCCTCCTTCCTCCCACTCATTCGACTCACTCGACGGTCCACTCGACGGACCTTCTCACCACGCGATCCCTGGAAGTGTGCTCCGGGTTTACAAGAGCTGCTCTCTGGAGGATTCCAGTGGCGTCGTGTCGGCGGGACCTCTACTGCTCTGCGATGAGATCCTCCAGAGCACAACTGTGTGAACATCTCAAGCGTTCTTACAGTTACCTGGACTTTTATCTACTGCTGACGCCCCCTCTCGAGAGTGAGCCTCACTGGTTCAAGAATCCAGCGCATTGTCAAAACAGAAATAGCAGCGACGTGGACGGACCATGATCAAACGATAGCCACGGATTCTGGTAAAAACAGCTCAACCTCATCAACAACAGCAGAAGCAACTGCAACAAGACCAGCAACTTGTTTCATTCGCGTCCGCATCCAGGGATCGATTCTGGCTGATTTCGGGAAGAGCACCAGCACCGCAGGAGCCTGGCAAAGTTGAAAGCAGCCTTAAGTCTGCGAGAAGGACTACTGCCCGCCCCGACGCCATAAACCAAGACATGCATCCGAATAGAGAAGCCAGTGAGAAGCAAAAGCAGTCTGATCCGTGGTGCCTTCTCGCACCTCTTTAACCACCGGGGCTCGTCCGCCCAGATGAGAGTTGTCGCCTTAGCGCATTCACTCCCACGCCCGTTCGCGCGGCCACCACGGTCGGAAGCATTGGGGGCCACAGACGTCGGACACATCCAGCCCGTCAGGACTCCTTCTCCGAGCAAGCCGCTGACGTCCACGCATGGAGAAAAGAAAGAAAAAAAGAGAGAGCGAGAGAGAGAGAGAGAGAGAGAGCGGACCATGGCCGAGCGCAAGTATGAAACAGTACAGTGGTTTCCCCATGACCATGAATTCATGTGCCCTACGCAGGTCCCCGAATCGAGATCGATGCGACCAGCGTTCAGTGATCGGTAGCGACAAAGGTCAGATCCACTTCTCCCAACTGGTCCAGACGCATTCTCTAATGAAATGCGCAACTGCCGCTGCTCCTCTTATTACGACTCTTGCTGGCACTCAGTGCTGACTGCACTGCCACGATCATCAACCTCATCATCACCATCATCATGAGCATCAGCTTCATCACCTCTAGCATGGCCATCATTATCACCACCAGCATCACCATCAGCAGTATCATCACCACCATCATCAGCATAACCATCATCACTTCCACCAAGATCATTCACATCATCATCGTCAGCTTTATCATTATCGTCATCATCATTACCATCATCATCATCATCATCATCATCATCATCATCATCATCATCATCATGAGCATCACTATCATCAACATCTTCATCATCATCAGCATCATCACCATCACCACCGCCATCATGATAAGCATCACCACCACCACCACCATCGTCATCATCATCATCGTCAGCACCCATCATCATCATCATCATCATCATCATCATCATCATCATCAACAGCATAATCAGCATCACCACCACCAGCATCATCATCATCAGCAGCATCAACATCAACATCATCTTCGTCAGCATCATCTCATCATCATCTTCACGGGTATCACCGCTAGAACCCTGTGTCAATGCCTTTACCGTTTACCGTATGCGCTGGCTCCCGCTAGAGAAATTCGGCGACAACCGCGGAGGCAGCAAAGATACCGACCCGCTTGATCTTCATGTCCTGCGTGAAGAGGTGAAGGCTCGAGAGGTCCAGCTCCTGAGACAGCCGAAAAGCCACGCAGAGAAAACAACCCATAGAAACTCCCAGAATTCCGACCAGCTCCCGAAGCCAGGAAACTCTCTGACTATCAAGCCGCGGGATGCTCAAGAAGGAAGAGGGAGTAGGGACTCGAACAGTTGTACATGTCCACCTTCCTCCTCCCTCTTCCCTCCTTCTCTGTTTGTTATTACCCATTCCTGCGAGGGGTGCCGGGCAGGAGCAAGGTGGATATGTCTGCTTGCCCTCCTCCAAGGTCGTCACGTGGAAGACACGCATCGACATGCACAGTGAATTGAAAGCAATTTGCACCGCGAGGTCCAATTCGACATGAACATCGACATGAAAATCAAACTGCAATCGGAACGGAACTCGAAATGCGATTCGAATTGCGAATTCAGAACACCGAAACACAAATTCAGGTGCAATCCACATAAAATACATGTCGAGTCGCAGATGGAACTCCACATCAAAATGATGGTCGAGATGCAAATCAAACTTTGAATCGGAATGCGAATCGAACTGCACACCGACAAGCAATCGCAATGCAAGCCCGAATGCAAATCGAACCGCATATCCAATTGCAATCGCAATGCTAATCGAAGACTACATGACAAGCTGTACTTTATGCAAGGCGAACTGAACATCAAACTTGGGCCGACACGCACATCGACATGCATATCGATTTGCGCATCCAAACGCAATAGAAAAGCAAGTCGGAATGCACATCAAAATGCGGATCGGAATGGACGTCCACCCGCCCTCCTTTCAAGGGGTGTGGATATGTAGGGAGAGGAGGAGAGCGACATTGGAAGTTGGGGGTGAGATCGCAATGGAACTGAGAGCCCCCCACCCGGAAGTCGGTTTCGGTTTCGGGCTCGTATCGTGCGTGCGGGCGAGGCGAAGCTACGTGGGCGGGCGAGAGTAGTGACTCCGCTGTGGCTGGGGCTGGTCAAGAATTGACCGCCCCTCCTCCCTCCCCGGTGGGCGGACGGTGGCCGGGTTGTCCCGCCGTGGTGTCCCGTCGCTGTCCTGCACTCCCCCGCGGTGGGCGGGCGGTGGCCAGGTTGTCCCGCCGTGGTGTCCCGTCGGTGTCCCGTTGGTGTGCCGTGGCTGTCCCGTCGCTGTCCCGTCGGTGTCCCGTCGATGTCCCGTTGGTGTTTCGTCGTTGTCCTGTCGGTGTCTCGTCGGTGTCCCGTCGGTGTCCCGTGGTGAGATCGGCAGTGGGATCGATAGTAAGGCCGATCATAAGATCGATAGTGAGATCGAGCGAGTGAGATCGATAGTAAGACCGATGGTAGGATTGATTGTGAGACCGAAAGTGAGATCGATCGGTGCCTCGATAGTGTCCCGTTGGTGTCCCCTTGTGTCCCGTCGGTATTCCGTCGGTGTCCCGCGGGTGTCCCGTCAGTGTCCTGTCGGTGTCCTATGGTGCCCCGTGGTGAGATCGATGGTGAGATCGATAGTGAGACTGATAGTAAGATCGACAGTGAGATCGGTAGTAGAGCGATAGTGAAATCGATAGTGAGATCGATCGAGTGAGATCGATAGTGGGATCGAGCGAGTGAGATCGATAGGGAGATCGAAAACAAGATCGTCGGTTTCCCGTCGATGTCCCGCGGGTGCCCCGTCGGTGTCCCTCCGGTGTCCCGATAGAGTCCCGCCGGTGTCCCATGGTGTCCCATGGTGTCCCGTAGTGAGACCGATAGTGGGATCGCTAGTGAGATCGATAGTTACATCGATAGTGGGATCATTTGTGAGATCTAGGAGTGAAATCATAAGTGAGATCGATCGAGTGAGAATGATGGTGGGATCGATCAAGTGAGACCGATCGCGAGATCGATACTGAGATCGATAATGAGACCAATAGTGAGATCGATGGTGACTTGATAGTGTCCTGATGTGTGCCCCGATTGGTGTCCCGATTGGTGTCCCGGTTGGTGTCCTGATGGTGTCCTGGTGGTGTTTCGATGGTCTCGGTGGTGTCCTGGTGGTGTTCCGATAAGCCCGAATGGTGTTCCGATGGTGTCCCGCTTGATGTCCCGCCATCGCAGCTGTCGTCAGTTGGCTCTTTCCTCCCCCACCGACCTCCTTATGACCCGAGGGGTGGCCGTATACGTATAGAGATACACCGTGCCTGAAAGGAATGGGCGTATTAGAATGCTCCTGTGGTCCCTCTTGGAGTGTCTTTACATGTGTTCTAGCGCCCGCCGACCCACCCCCTGCACCGCGGGGTTAAAACATCCCCCCCCTGAAGTTGCTCCACGGCGCTCGTTTCGGCCCCCGGATGGCCAAGATGGCCCCCAAGACGGCTTCCAAGACAACCAAGACGACAACACAACGGCTCAGGATAGCCCGAGACAACTCAAGAGCCTACCGAGAGAGCCTCAAGACGGCTCGAGATAGCCCAAGATGGCCCCCTAAGACGGCCCACGGGGCCCCCTAAGACGGCCCGAGGGATCTTCAAGAGTCTTCCTGGAGAGCCCGAGGAGGCACAAACTATTGACGCTCCGTAGGTGTTTGAAAGGTGTCCTCCTTCCTGCTGCGCTATTGCACAGTCACGTTGGCGGGCTTGCCGCAGGCAGCTGGATAGAGAAAGGGAGCGAGAAACAGAAAGAGAGAGAGAGAGAGACAGAACAAGCGAGAGATACAGAGAGAGAGAGAGAAAGAGAGAAAGAGAGAGAGACAACACACAACCGAACAACCATGCACAGACATGAAACAATCTACCGATATATTTGAAACATGTGGGTGTGTATACATGTATATAGGGAGAGAGAGAGAGAGAGAGAGAGAGCAAACAAAATAAACAAAGACATGCGTATAAAGGGAAAGAGAGGGACTGGTGTGTGGCCCGCCACCCCCTCCCAAAAGAGAGAACGAGAGAGAGAGAGGGATAAAGAGAGAGAGTGAAAGAACGAAAGAGAGAGTGAGATTGAAGTGGATTGGGCGGGTCGAGGGAGGCAGGTGAGGGATTGGGGTAGGATGGCGTTGCACTGGATGGCAAGAAGACTGGGGGGCAGGGGAGACAAACTGAGGGAGGAGGAGACAGGAAAGGAGCACAGGGATGGAGACGGGCAGGGAGGACACGACAAAAAACACAGAGCGAGAGAGAGAGAGAGAGAAAAACAAAAAGAAAGAGAGGGAGAGAGAGGACATCACAATATCAACATAATGCGAGAGAGAGAGAGAGAGAGAGACAGAGAGAAATAGATAAAGAGGGAAAGAGAGAGAGAGAGAGACAGTTGAGGAGAGAGAGAGAGAGAGAAAGAGACACACACACACACATACACCCATACATGTATACACATATATATATATATATAAACACAAAGCTATAAGCCTAAATGGAGAGAGAACGAGAGAGAGAGAGAGAGACACAAAAAGAAAGAGCGAGAGAGAGAGAGAGAGGCAGAACAATATGGCTTTGCACCGAAGAGGGGGAGGAGAAGGAGAGAGCGGAAACGGAGAGAATGCTTTGGCACGCGTTGGCACGCGCGACGTGCGGACAAACAAGAATACAAGGAAGGCCCAAGCACAGAACTCGTGACTGCACTACCCCGCAGGGCGCGGGGAAGGAGAGGGCCCCTCAAGGGGCGGAGTGGGGCCTGGGCTGGGCGTCTACCCGCAGCAGGGAAGTCTTCGGGACGGCCGTCGGTGACCCCCGCCACGCCTCCACGGCGCCTGTCCCACTGCTGGACGGAAGCCAAGCCCTCGCCTCTCGGTGGCGCGGGGCTGTTTCGGGCGGCCTCGCGAACGAGGGAACACGGCCCTTCTGAATCCGGGCCCCATTATCGAACTCCTTCCCCGTGGGGGCCAGAGACAAGCGGGCAACTTCAGGCGCCCATCTGGAGTGGCCGTTCGCCCGCGCCTCTTGCCAGCATCGAAACCCGCACAGATCCCCAAAGGCCAGCTCATGCGAAGGATGCAAGGCCGCTGCCCTGACGGCCACGGGACCCATCAAAGAACGAACCGCGTCGGACGGAATAGGGGCGAACTCCGAGGAAAGGATGCAAGAAGCCCCACTGGCCTCGGAAATGCCCTCCTTGCCAGACTGCAGCTCGCAGACCGCGCAACGGAACATGCCGCAGCGCGCCGCGAACTTGCGAGGGCTTGCTCGCGCAGCCTGCTCCAACTTTGAGCCTCTGCGGGCCCTCTCAGAGGAACCTCGCCCGAACGGGTTTCCCGAGGGTCGGCCAAAGAGGCCTCGGCCAGGGTCCGACGAGCTCGGCGGCGAGCAGGCCCCGTCTGGGCATCCCAGTAGTCGGCCCCGGCGTGTGAGCACGCTTATAAATGCCGCGCTCGCCCTGCAGCATCAGAGGCCTGCTCCAAGACCCGCGCGGCGAAGCTGCGCCTGCCATTCGCGCGGCATGGGGGCCCGAGCACGATGCGCGCAGCGCCCCGCGAGGGAGACGAGACCCCCCCGCTCCGCGCGCCCGCGGCGACGCCCGCCCATTTGGCCCAAGGCAGGTGACCAGCGCGATCCTCGTGCTGCCCGTCGTCGAAGAAGCTCGAGCCCTCTCCTTGCTCTATGGCTCGCGCGCGGCGGGCAGGCAGGTCGCGGCGCGACACTGTGGCCGACGATGGCCGCGGTCGCGCAGGGAGAGAGCTGCTGGGAGTGGGGCCAAGGCGTGGGCGACTGCCCGAAAGTCTCCGTCAGGGTCAGCCAGATGGTTCCACCCTTGGGTGACTCAGCCAATCGATGGCGTGCCTCGCCCCTCGCCTTCTGACGGCGGCCAGTTCCAATGCATGGCGCATTGCCACGCCGCGCTCCAGCTTGCAGCCCCCGCACGAGAGCGAGGGTCGAGCGTTCTACTACCAGCTGCCTCTGACCTGGCCGCGCCATCGCCCGCCGTGGCAGTGGGCCCTGGTTGGGAAGCAGCTGCTGGGAGGTCTTCGTCGGAAATACTAAAGAGGATTAAGCCCCATTGCGGGGCTGTTACGCCAGAGTGGACTTCGGATTAAAGCGGGATTAAGCCGCATTAAGCGGGATTAAGCGGGATCAAGCGGGATTAAGCCAGATTAAGCCGGACTTCGGACCAGGGCAACATCAGAATTTGACTTGACCTCCAAAGAGTTGCATCCGAATCCTGGGTGTCCCTGGGCACGGCTTGCCCACTCAAGGTCCAAGGAAACGGGAGACCAGGCTTCGGGGGGCTCGGGTGGGCCTGACGGTGCCGCCAAGACAATGGCGAGACCCAGCCAGAAACTTGGCGCGAGCTCCCGCCGCAAACGTCCGACGAAAACTGGACCGTCAAACTTCAGGACGGGCCCGGCGCAGGCAAACCCGAGTTTGGGCAAACTCGAGTCGTGCGTTTCCCTGGAAGGTGGAGGCAGTGTTGTTGTAGTGTATTTGCTTTTCTTCTCTGTTGTTCCCACGGAACGCAATAATTATCCAACACCGCCTCCAAGGTGGGAGCGGTGTTGGTTTGGATCGAACTCCAGCTCCTTCGCCTGTGCCAGGGGGATGTCCCGTAGTCTGTCGCCTCAACTCCTCCGTAGCGGGGGCCGGACAACGAGCCCGCCGCCCTGCTGACGGAAACCCGGTCAGAGACTTGGCTGCAGTGGGTCGCCGTCACGGCTGCGTTCGTCCACGATGGACTTCGCTTTGGCTGCGGCGGCCTGCCGCGTTGCCTCTGCCTCTGTCGGTTGTGGGTGCGTCTCCTGGAACGAGAATGTGAGCGCCGCCGCCGCCGGGATCAGCAACAGCAGCAACGGCCGCAGTCCCGCCCGAGCTGGCCGCTCCGCCAGTTGCGAGCGGTTTCCCGTGGGGCTCCGCCGCCGCTGCTTTGCACGTGGGCGCGGGGCCCCTTGGCGTCCGCGCGGGGCTGCAAGACGCTGGTGGCTGCTGGGCCAAGAACTTTCGCCACCTCAGCCTGGACGCTGGTGTCGGGTTCCGTCTTGACCCGTCGGCGTCGTCGAGGCCCAAGCCCGCGATGTCGAAGAGCGGCGAGTAGACGATCGCGAGTCCAGCCGTGACGCTGCTGCCCTCGACGAGGGATGACACACTGATCGCCGATGCAGGAGGGGATGCTGGCGTCGCAGTCGTCGCAGTCAGCGGTTGGGAGAGCTGTTTGGCACAAATCTTTCCCCACGTCTTCCGAAGCGATGGCACGCTCTTCCTGCTGCTGGGCCTCCTTGGGCCAGGCCTCGCCATTCAGCGCGCGGAGCGAGCAAGTCTCCTGCCAGGCCTGCGCACGATGATGTGCGACACCGTGGGCTGTGACCTCCCTGTCGACAGGCGGAGACCTGAGCGGTGGCGCAGCGGGAACGCTCTTCTCGATGAGCTGCGCCTTGGTGCGCTGGAACTCGGGAAAACCGCCGAACAACTCCCGTACCAACGCAATCGGGTCGGCCCTCGGCTGGCGGGGTCGCTTGGGTCGCGGCGCCTCCTCCATGAGGGGCCCAGCCGTGCCGCCGCACCCGCGGCCCGCTGAGTGTCCCCTCTGACTTGGCCGTCGCCTCAGTCTTGGGCGGCGGCGGGCCTCTCGCCCGACCTTGCCTCCCTCTGTGGTCTCCCCCCCTCCTCCTCCTCCTCCTCCTCCTCCTCCTCCTCCTCCTCCTCCTCCTCTTTCTCCTCCTCCTCCTCCTCCTCCTCCTCCTCCTCCTCCTCCTCCTCCTCCTCCTCCTCCTCCTTGAGCAGAATAGGGGCTGACCCAACGCAAGCGGAGGCCCGAGCGTCCGGCTCCCTGCTGGGCGGCGCGGGGGCGAAGAGTCGTCCACGAGGGGGCCCGCGCACCGGCAGCACCAGTGGCTGTGCTCGAGGCTCCGGCGGGAGCGGCAGTGCATGCGCGACACGCACCGCTTCAGCTTGCCTGGATATCCCCCCTTCTGGCCATCGCGGCTCACCCTGACCATGGGGCAAACCATCTGCTGAGAGAACGAATTCGAGTCCGCAAACCCTGCCGCACGGATCCCAAGCCTGGGCGAACACGCCGAAACACTGGACGCAAGCCGCGGAACAAAGGAATCCACTGGGCCCACATGAAGCCTGAAAAATCTTGAGCCAAAATGGCTACGGAGCGAAGACAAAAAGAATAATGGGAAGAAAAAGTGGAGGGGGTCGTCAGGAAGCCTCTGGAGGTCTCTGGAGGTTTCAAAAAGCATCCAGAAGCACCTGGGGGCCCAACAACGCCCACGAACATCCTGAAAACCTCGATGCGCCTCAATTCTCGTTGAGCACGTCGATGCGCCTCGATTCTCAGTCATGGGTCGCCCTCGTGGAGGGTAGAGGAGGGCAGAAGGGGGAGGGCGGAGGGGAAAGGCATCCGCGCCGAAGAACACCTCAGCCCGCGGGGCAGCAGCGACAGCTGGCACTGCTGAGATAACCTGCCCCCCCCGTCGGAAGGAGAGGAAGTGAGGGCAAGCGGGACAAAAACGTCATAGTGACCGTGGTGATGATCATCGTTGTCACCATCATTGTCGTTATCGAGCTCCTCCTCCTCCTCCTCCTCCTCCTCCTCCTCCTCCTCCTCATTATCATCATCATCACCATCATCATCAGCAGCATCAGCATCAGCATCGGCGTCGGCATCAGCATCAGCATCAGCATCAGCATCAGCATCATCATCAGCGCCAGCATCATCATCCTCAGCAGCAGCATCAGCACAAGCATCAGTATCATCATCATCATCATCATCATCATCATCATCATCATCATCATCATCATCATCATCATCATCATCATCATCATCATCGTCATCATAATCATCATCATCATCTTGATATCATCATCATCACCACTCTCATCATCATCCTCATCCTCATCCTCATCCTCATCCTCATTATCATCATCATAATCATCATCAGCATCATCATCATCATCAGCATCGCCATCATCATCATCATCATCATCATCATCATCATCATCATCATCATCATCATCATCAGCATGATCATCATCATCCTCAGCAGCAGCAGCAGCATCTGCATAATCATCAGCATCATCATCATCACCATCATCGTCATCATCATTATCATTATCATCATCAGCAGCACACTCATCAACATCATCATCAATAGCAACATCATCCTTCTCCTCCTCCGCCGGCAAGACATATCGACCATGAGCCGGCTGGGCCTGGTTTGTGGCATGAACCAAGGAAGTCCTGAAGGAAAAGGGCCCCGGAATCTCGGGCTTTCCCTCGGGGCGAGCTCTCGGTCCTTTTGGTCGTTCCCTGACAGTCCCTGGGCCCAGGGAGGGCCCTGGGAGCCAGAAAACGAACGACCGGCTCGGGACCCACATCCCTCAGAAGACCCGAGGGGAGTGGGTCTCCGAGGGAAGAGGGCCTTTGGGAGCCCTCAGAGACTCCTTTTTCCCTCGCGGCAAAAGGGGCCACAAACTGGCTGGGCGTGCTCCCTCCATTTTCAACAGCACCGCTGGAAATGTCAGAAGCGTCATCCCCGGCGAGACAAGGCATGCCAGATCTTGCGCCACCGTTCGCCAGCCTCGCGCGCCCAGCTGTCGCCACCCGCCGGGGCGCGGGCTCTGCGCCTCCTCCCGCTTCTCCCTCGGCCTCCCAGGCCTCCTCCGCGCCTCTGGCCTTCTACGCTGCGCTTCTCGCCAGGAACTCGCCCGCTGGGCTCGCCGCGGCATGGGGCCTCTGAAGATCCATGCTCCTGGCTGGGGCGGCGTACTTCTGTCCGGCCTCCCTGCGGTGAGCCACCCCTGGCCTCGCCATCGCGTCCTCGGACGGGATCTGCTCCTCCGGGTGCGCGCTTTCCTCCTTGCCCCCTTCCCCCTCCGACCCCGCCTTCACGAGGTCATTCAGTTCTGCGCTTCGCGCCGAGAGATGCACGACGCGCAACCATCTTTGCGCTCTATCGCCGCCCCCTAGAGAAGAACAGCGAAACCGCCCCGACCGCGGAGGGCGAAGCCCAGCGTTCTTCGTGCCCCCTGCGGGTGATCAGGCCTTTCCTTTGGCTGGCCTCCCCTCCCTCCCGCCCTCCCGCCCCCTCCCGCCCCCACTTACTCCCTCCTGCTCATGCCCACCCCGCCCATCACCTCCCCGCCCCTGGCCGCGCCTGCGGGTGCAGCGTGTTCCACGCCTCCCGCAGCACGTTTGCCGAGGAGGCGTAGAAGCTGTGCTGGGGCGCGGTCCTCTCCTCGACTGGGACGTCGACCGCCGCAATCTCCTCGACTGGGGCATCGTCCGCGACACTCTGGTCGACCGGCGTGTCCACCGCACCCTTCTCCTCGACTACGCCATCGTTCGCGGCACGTTGCTCGACTGGGGCGTCGGCAGCGCCCCTCTCCTCGACAGCGGCGTTGTCCGCGGCACTTTGCTGGACTGGGACGTCCACTGCACCCTTCTCCTCAACTGCGGCGGCGTCCGCAGCACTCTGCTCGACGAGGGTGTCGGCATGGTCCCTCTCCTCGACTGGGGCGTTGTCCGCGACATCCACTGCGCCCTTCTCCTCGACTGGGGCGTCGGCCACGGCGCTCTCCTCGACTGGAGCGTCGGCAGGGTCCCTCTCCTCGACCGAAGAGTCGGCGTCGATCCTCTCCCCTTCGTGCGGAAAGGCGACCGTCGTTGTCCTCGAAGAGTAGGGACGACGATGAAAATGAGGAGGACGGAGGAGGAGGAGGAGGAGGAGGAGGAGGAGGAGGAGGAGGAGGAGGAGGAGGAGGAGTAGGAGGAGCAGGAGGAGGAGGCGGACGAGAATACATGTATCAAGGATGCTGCAGTCTGCAGGGCAACCTCCCGCCCCAAGTCACCTCATCCTGGAGTCCCTGAGGCCGAGGTATCGAGGCAAAGCACACCTCCGAACCTCGACCCAATCGACCCCTCGACCCCATCGACCCCTCGACCCCATCGACCCCTCGATGTCATCGACCCCTCGACGCCTCGACCCCTCGACCCTTCGACCCCTCGGACCCCTCGGACCCCTCGACGAGCCGGGAGGCCGGGAGGTGGAAGCGCCCCCCCCCCCCCCCCCCCCCTCGGGGCCTCGGGGCCCCTGGGCCTCTCGGGAGGCCGCTCCCCTCGGCTGCCCGCCCCCGTGCCAGCCGTCCGCCCGCGCGGGCTCCGCGGCCCCGGGGCCCACCGTCGGCCCGGGGCGGGCGCTGCCACGGGCCTCGGGCAGACATGCAGCGGCGGCAGCGGGAAAGCAGCTGTTGGACCCCCCCCCCCTCCCCCCCAAGCTCGAAGCTGGCACGCGCGGGGGAGACTGCGGTCGAGGTGCAACTCATCAGACACTCCGTCAACTTTGGAACATTGGGGGGAGGGGGAGGCGTTGACAGATGAATGTGGCATGAGGCATGAGGAGGGAACGGGGGAGAGAGCTTGTTCCTATATCTGAAGATGGACCAGCCCGAATGCCATAACAATCTTAGGGATGCGCTCCCAGAATCTCTGATACGTCGCAGCGCGGCAGAAGCAATCCGCTCGCGCGCTCAACAGGGTCGGGCGAAGACACAGCACCTCTTGTCCGGCTGCCGACCCCAGAAACAGGGAACACTTTTGATCGGCCTCGAGATCCGGGGACGCCAGTCCTGGGAACACGGATCTGCTCCAGGCTCATATGAGCTGCTCCAGGGTTCCTGAAGGTGCCCCTGGGCCAAGGTGCCCCTGGGGCCCCTGGGGCCCTCTGGGGCCTCGTGAGGGATTAACTTTGTGCCCCTGGGGAGGCCCTGGGGCCCCTGGGGCCCTCTGGGGCCTTCTGGGGCCTCGTGAGGGAGGCCCTGGGGCCCTCTGGGTGCCCCCAGCTTGTCGCTCAACTTTGTGGCCCCTGGGGCCCTCTGGGCCTCGGCGAGGGATCTCCTGAAGCCGTGGGGCCTCCTCGTACATTCCGGGGGGGCGCACCCTGGGCCATAGGGGCACTTCCGGCAACGCCCGAGCTCTGGATGCCGCCCCCCTCGGGCCTCGCCGTGGGTGCGTGCCCACCGGCCGCTTCGGCCAGGGCAGCGCGCCTCCCCCTTAGGGGGAGGGGGGGGGGGCGCTCTCCCCCCAGGCAGGGCCGCTTCCTGGCGGCCTCCCGCAGGGGAGACGAGGCGGGCCCCGGGGCGCCCAGGACGTTCCCGGGACGTTCCCAGGAAGCCGGCCGCACGGATCCGCGCCAGACGTTTCGGAGATCCCAACGGCCGAGCACCCCTCACGAGGCCCAGGGGGGAATGGAGCAAAGAGCTGGGGTCACCTCAAGCTCCACGTCCCCACGCCTTCTGCTTCAGAAAGCAGCCCACGGAAGCCTGCGTTCGCCCCCATGGCGTCCAGAAGCGCGTCCCATCGCGCGCTGAGAGCGGGCGTGATGCATCTCTCCCACATGGCGCCACGTGGGCGCTTCAGGCGCTATTGGGCCCTCTTGGGCGCTATTGAGCGCCATTTGGCACCATCGGGAACTGACGTTTCGCAGTCTCCGCCCTAAGATGACCCCCGAGACCACCAGCAGGTCCCCTCCCCAAGGGACCCCTCAGAAGCCTCAGGAGAAACCCTAGAGGCCCAAATCAGGCCCCAGGAAGCCCCGAAGAGACCCCAGGAGGCCCCGGGACACCCCCAACACCGCCTACCAAGAGATCTACACCCCCAACACCGCCCCTCAAGAGGCTTCCGATAAGCCTCCAAAGAGATCCACACAGGCATCGAAGAGGTCTCTGTCTTTCAACCTAGCTGGGATGGGACGAAGGCCACAAGATCAACCGCCCCCTGTGTTTGTCACAAGGGCATGCCGAACGTTTCACTGTGTTGGCTCTTTTCACATTCTTCCCAATGGCCTTCGGCCAATGCAGCCGTCCACACGAACGGTACCATCAAAGAGACCTCTCATCGGTACCCCCCGCTCAAGATGGCCCCAAGACGGCCTGCAAGACAGCCAAGATGGTCTAAGATGGCCTCCAAGACGGTCCCAGGGCGCCTCCAAGAAGGCCAAGATGGCCCCAAAACGGCCCAAGAGGCCTTACAGGCAGCCCAAGAGGCCCCAAGGCAGCCCAAAGCGACTCCAAGAGGATCTCCGAAATGCCAAAATCATAGATTTTTGCTGTTCTCGCCTTTTCGGGTTTCCGACGCTCCGACACGGCCCCATCTGATTGGTCCCCAAGATCGCCCCAAGATAGACCGAGAAGCCCACAGGAGGCCCACCAGACGGCCCAAGGGGGCCTCAAGACGGCCCAAGAGACCCTCCATGCGTCCCCAAGACGGCCCCGCAGACTTCCAAAACGGCCCGAAAGCGCCGAAAGAAGGAAACTCCAAAGACTGCCTCCGAAGGCCACGAAGTCCCGTGGAGAATCCCAGAGGCCCCCAGAGGGCCCCCCAGAGGCTCCAAGGACCCTCAGGAAGCCCCAAAACGACCTCAAGAGGCCTCCTTTTCCTGCTTGTCCCCTCCTCCTCCTCCTCCTCCTCCTCCTCCTCCTCCTCCTCCTCCTCCTCCTCCTCCTCCTCCTCCTCCTCCTCCTCCCCCTCTTCCTCCTGTTCCTCCCTTTCCTCCTCCTGTCTCTTCCTCTCCCATGTGTCCCCCGAAGTGATTCCACGATACGGCTGGGGGAACACGTCGTCCAATAGCTTGGCCAAGATTTGGCCCAATATGTGGTCGCATGGGCATTTTCTAAAAGAAAGGTGCGGCGGTGGTTCGTCGTAGGCGTTTTCGATACAAATGCTAATGATCCTCTCCTTTGGCGCTGCCGTCCGCGCAACTGAAGTCGCTGTTGCAAGCGCGTGGTAGAGCAAGCGGGGCGGGGCCTTCTTCAAATCCAAACGAATATTCGCTTCCCTGGGTGGTGCCAACTGCGCAGTTACTGAAACTTCCCTGGGCTTGCGGGGGGTGCAGAGGAGTGCAATATTGCTGAGACACACGCTGCTACCCCCGTCCCTGAGTGCTGCCACCCCCGCAACTGGCACGATGTTCAGAAACTTTTGGGAGGGCCACCAGAATGTGGTCCTCAAGGGCCCCAAACGGGACATCACACTCACCGGGCGTTTCCAACCACGCAAAATCCTTCCTTGTCCTGATCATCGTCACCCTTGCGTCGCTCCTCCCTCCACGTCCTATCCTTCAGTGTTGCCTCATATCTGTGCCGCGAGCGAGCGGGCCCCCCATGCACGTATCTTTCAGAACGGGTCGAGTTCCATACCACGCCATGGGCCATGGATAATGGGCACATTTGTATGGGCACGCGTTGCCTCAGAAGGGCTGGGTACATCCCCAAGTATTGCAAGACGGATGAACAACAAATATGCGAGAGCCCATGTGAAAACGACCAACCCTCAACCCGCGCAACTGTTAGAAACTTCCAGCTTGAATGCCGTGAACGACGCGGAAATCTCAGGCGAAACGCCCGGCCCGCTCTGTGAATCAGCACGTCAGGTGGCGCGGGCGGCGTGACAAGGAGGAGTTGTTCATAATGGCGAAGGATTGACGACGACGGGGACGACGAGGCGGAGAAGACGAGAGAAGAGGATTAGGCGAAGGAAGAGAAAGAGGGCGAGAAAAAACACACGTTAAAACTAGAGGACCATGTCGGCATTTAAGCAACCCGCCGCCCAAAACGGATGCCGAAGTTTCAGACGCCATCGCCGGGCAACTTCACGAACCCCTCAGAGTCGTACGGGCGTCGAGGGACCCTGCCGCTATGTGAGCCCTTACATGATCACTGGCTGGGCGTGCCAACAAAAAACAAGAATGGTACGCCATGAGCACATCAGGTGGCACCAACTTCCTTGGGCAACGCATGCTCGAACACAAAAACCGCAAAGAAGAGCATGATCAGCCCATCGACGGTCTGCTGCATGCCCATCTCAATACTTTGCGAATCGGCGACATGTGCATATGTGTGGCCCAAAGGTTGCTGATTGTGGTGATGCGTCAATAGCGCTGTTCCCGCCACCACCTAAGGGCGCGTCCAGCGCGGTATGTAGCGGGTTTTGGTTTTGACGGGTGGCAAGCTGGAAACAGGCGAACTGCAACATTGACGACCAGCTGGAAATGTGTGTAATATTATGCGAGGCGGACTACCAAGTGGACAAGCTACCATACTTTACGGCGCTGCGTTGGATTGTCTTGCTTCGATATGGTACGATGTCTCGCAATGCGCTGCAACGCGGCAAAAGCGCCACGCAACGCAACGGAAACACATCGCAGCACAATGACACGTAGAATATAGCAAACAAGGTCAAAGCAACACAACTCGGCGCAGCGCACTGCAATCCAGGCAATGCAACTCACAACAAAGCAAGGCAATACAAAGGAGCCGAGCGCGACAACACAACGCCATGCGACGCAAGACATAACAGACAACAGTAGAGCGGTAGCGCCTTGCCGCATTGAACCAACATGACTACGGATCCGCAAACCTTATATATATATAGAGAGAGAGAGAGAAAAGAAGATAAATAGAGAGAGAGAGAGAGAGAGATGCTACACCCGAGGACCTGACCAGCAGGGGCGAGGAGCGGCAGGAGAGGAAGCCCCAGAGCTCTCGCCGCACACCTTTTCACATCAATCCAGTCTGGCAACTGTCTGCCTCAGAGAGGCCATCTCGCTAGAAGAAGGGCTGGCTGAATTGCAATTCGACTGCGGCTCTGAGAAGGCCGATCGCTGGAGGGCTCC